ACAGCTCACGAAGCATTGCAAGGCTATATGGTTGAAAGAATGTTTGCACGTTATCAACGCTCTTCCATTACATACTTCACGCGAGTGTTTGATTTATGAAACGAGCATTGGAAACTGGTTGACACCGCGTGTGCCCGTGTTAAAACACCGCTTTTTAATCGGGCTCGTTGCCCGCCACACCGCGGACTATCATTACAAACCGACCGGTTAAATATTTTTTCAGAGTCACATTGAAAACACTCGGCAATTATTACGCACTTTCCCCGTATCACGAACGCGATAAATCACCAGTGTTCATTGTGCATAAACTCTGGTCGCGTCGAATCGTTTCTTCCTTTTTAATAAAATAACTGCCTGACTCTTCTCAGGAGAATAGATCGACGAATAGGTATACTATCTATAAGTATTTGAACAATCGGTATAATTCGAGTGAAAGATTGATATTCGTGTTTCAACGTGTCGAATTGAAACTGTAAATGAGGAATCGGTATTGTTCAGGTTCTACGCATACATCAAATTAATTCTGAAATTTACAGGAACTTTTAAAAACATGCAAGTATTACACGTGAAACATTCGACGTTGGTCATATTCTGTTTTCATTTTATTTGTTTTTTCCCTTTTTTTTTTTATTACAAATGAGTACTTCTTGTGATTTCAATTGTAAGAGGAAGGACGATTATTCAACTATAAAAGGAATAAGAACAAAACGTTCTTTATAAAAAGGTTTTAAATTTGAAACATTAATTATTTCTTAGTTTGCAGCCTTGCATTTTCCAAAGCGTAAAGATAAAATAAAAAAAGAAAAATAAATGAGTGTCGCTAAAAGTCGAAACTGTTTCTACGACAATGTCTCGTAGTTCTACATGGGACAGTCATTAGATATTAAAACACAAAGGCAGCAACGATCTACTGTACCACATAAGCTTCTACAACGTCTCTTGGCTGGGACGACTTTGGTTCCTAGTCTGGTTCGGTGAATCTTCATTTTCGACGGTCCCAGCCGCTATATGCGGGGAGCTGGTGGGTTCCTTGGTAATTATTAGTCCATCAGCATCTCTCCCGATGGCCACATGGCCGTATAAGAGGCAAAAGGCGAGCGCGCTCGCTCCGAACGCGGACCATCTTAGCCTTCGCGAGGCCGCCCTGTCATTATCCGCCCCCGTCAGGGCCCCGTGCAGGGGCCCCGTTTCCCTTTCAACCCCGTTCACCTCGTCGTCTCTGCCAATCAGCGATCCGTCATTTCACAGTGCCCCGATATCGCTCGATCGTTACCGAGAAAAATCAATCGTCGCTCGTTGAT